GTTCCCTCGATTTAAAGAAATCATTCAAGAAAAGTGGGAATCTTTTCAAATTATGGGATGGAGTGGTTTTAAATGCAAAGAAAAGTTAAAACGTTGAAGAATTTTTTAAAAGTGTGGAATAAGGAGGTGTATGGAAATATTGATATGCAGATTGAAGAGGCAAAGGAGAAGATGTTAGTGGTGGATCTTAAAGGAGAGGAAATGGATTTAGAGCAGGGGGATATTCAGTTAAGGAAGGAAGGAGTGAGCGAATTATGGGACGGATTGAGGAAGAAAGAAAGCCTTTGGAGACAAAAATCCAGAGCTCTATGGATAAGGTCAGGGGATGCAAATACTAGGTTCTTTCATAGATTTGCAAGTTGTAGAAGGTCAAGAAATGCTATGCATGGCTTATGGAAGGATGATTCATGGGTGAAGGATCCTACACAAGTGAAAAATATTGTTTCAAACCACTTCAAGAAGCAATTTTCAGAAGTTAAATGGAAGAGACCACTACTAGAAGTTGTTGACTTCAAGAGAATTTCTAAAGAAGATAATTTAAGATTGGAAGCTAAATTCTTAATAGACGAGGTGAGAAAAGCAGTGGTAGATTGCAATAGTGATAAGGTTCTGAGACCCAATGGATTCAACTTCAAGTTTATTAACTTTGCATGGCATATGTTGGAGGAAGATATAATGCAATTTGTGAAGGACTTCCACACAAATAGAGGATTGGTAAGGGGACTAAACTCAAGCTTCATTGTGTTGATTCCGAAAACGGAAAACCCGATAGATTTAAAAGACTTTAGGCCTATTAGCCTCATTGGAAGTTTGTACAAAATTATGGCAAAACTTCTTGCTAATAGGTTAAAAGGGGTTATGGACAATATCATTAGTGAGAACCAATCAGCATTTGTGGGAAAAAGGCGGATAGTGGATGGAATCTTGGTGCTTAATGAAATTGTGGATGAAATTAAAAGGAGGAAGTCAGACAGCTTTATTTTGAAAGTGGATTTTGAGAAAGCTTATGATTGTGTAAATTGGAATTTTTTGAACTACATGATGGAGAAGTTTGGATTTGGGGAGAAATGGAGGGATGGATTGTAGAATGTCTATCTTCAGCACATGTTTCTGTTTTGGTAAACGGAAGCCCAACAGAGGAGTTTAGGATGGAAAAGGGTCTAAGATAAGGGGATCCTCTATCACCATTCTTATTTCTCTTAGTTGCTCAAGGCCTGCATTGTATGATTCAAAAGGCAGTGGTTGAAGGCTTATTCGAAGGTGGTAATGTGGGCTCAAGAAACCTTTAGATCTCACACCTCTAGTTCGTCGATGACACTATGATCATGGGTAAGGCTAGAATGGACCACATTCGGACAGTGAAAGGTATTTTAAGGTGGTTTGAATTGATGTCGGGGTTGAAAGTTAATCTCAAGAAAAGTAGTCTTTATGCATTCAATACAGGGAATAACTGGTTGTCAAGGGCAGCCAAGTTTTTAAAATGCAAAATGGGTGAAATTCCATATCTTTACTTGGGAATGCCAATTGGGGAAAACCCGAGGAGGAGAAGGATGTGGCTACCAATGATAGAAAATTTGTATAAAAAGCTTGCCGGCTAGAAAGCTCAATCCCTGTCTTTTGGTGGTCAGTTGGTTCTCCTTAAATTGGTACTTTCTTCTCTCCCTTTGTATTATTTATCTTTGTTTAAAATTCCTACTTGTGTGCTGAAAATTATTGAAAAAATTCAGACAGACTTTTTCTAGGGTATGTCTAGGGAAGGGAAAAGGAAGATTTGTTGGGTGAGATGGGATTGGGTATGTTTAGCAAAAGAGAAGGGAGGTTTAGGGGTTAGGGATTTAAGGAAATGCAACTTAGCACTCTTGGAAAGTGGTGGGCTAGGTTTGTGGATGGCTCAGAAGGATTGTGGAAGAAAGTTCTATTAGGAAAATATTATGGTGCAGGGGGAGAAGCGAATGTAGGAGAAATTGGGAGGAGAAGGGTATCAAAAATATGGGAAAATATTGTATCCTTAGGAAAGGAAGGTAGTGAGATGATAGGGATTGTGGGGAATAGCTTTACTTGGGAGGTAGGTGATGGTAATAGAGTTAAGTTTTGGAAAGATGTTTTGTTGGAAGGGAGAAATCTTGGGATGGATTTTCCAAGATTAAAAAATGATGCAACGAATGTTGATATAAAAGTTGGAGAGATGGGGGAGTGGTGTAAGGGGGTTTGGAGATGGAAGACAGATTGGAGGAGGGAGTTAGTAGGGAGGGCTAGAAAGGAGGAGATATCATTATTAGTACAGTTAGAAGGAGCAACGGTAAGGGAGGGACTAGGAGATAGAAGAATTTGGAAACATGATAAAAGTGGAAACTATTTTGTGAGGAAGGTTATCTCAATGCTAATTGACAATCAAAGAGTGATGGACAATGTCTTATGCAAAGCAATATGGAATAAACTTTTGCCTAGAAGGGTTTGTTTTTTTTGCATGGAGACTATTTTTGGACAGGTTACCAACTAAAATGAACTTGGAATGAAAAGGTATTCATGTGAGCGATGGAAACATCATCTGCATAAGATGTAATGAAGAGGCAGAGGACTTGGCACTCATTATTATTAGATGCAGGTTTGCACACCAGGTGTGGATGAAATGCCTAAAGTGGTGGGGATTCTATGGCATGCTACCAAATTCAATATAAGAGGCTTATAACCAAATAATGCTGGGAATAAGCAACACAAGAACAAGGAATGTCTGGTCATATCTGTTTTTAACCATAGCATGTCTCTATGGAATGCATGCAATAATATCATTTTCAGAGCTCAAGAGATCTCAGTGGAAGATGCCTTTGCGAATATTCAAGTCAGATCTTTCTTGTGGCTAAAAGGAAAGCTAAGGGTTTTATTTCCACACTTTATGAATGGGAAAGTAATCCTTTTGACTGTGCTATGACAATTAGATAAGATTTAGTTGATGTTTGTATTATGTAATTGCAAATATATTTTTGGATGATTCTATAATTAACAGATGTAATGGGTTGGAGGTACCCCTTGTACCTATATAATAAATTATTTTTGCTGTAAAAAAAAAAACATTTTTTTAATTGTAATGTCAATTTTGTTCACCTATAAATTTTTAGTATATTATTTAATATTTTGTCAATAGTCCAAAATGAAATAGTTAATATTAAAATTTTATAATAGCAATATTAAATAAAAAAGAAAAGGATCAATTCCAGAGTTCTAAGACACTGGCCTTGCCCACACACCATGGTATTCCTGGTGGTGAAAAAGTCAGCATTTTCGACACCCTATCACAGCCTTTCCTAAAAAAGCTACCTTTGGGCACACTATTTCATCGTCTCTTAAAACGCTATTTGGTACACAACGCGACGATGATATAGACGGCATCTCATATGCGTTTTAAGAAACCACACATCAAAATGTTATGGCAATACAAACTTTTAAACATTATATTTTAAAATATTGAATAGGAATGACAATGGGTTTTCGCAGGGGCGATCGAGGACTCCCTCCTTATCCCCATCATCACCATTGGTGGATATTAGAGTCTTTGTAAGGATTCTTGACAAAGGGTAAAAAATGTCATCCATCTCTATCCCTGCAGGGAACGAGGGGTCTTTGTGGGTATGGGGAATACATGCAAAAGTGTGCAAAAATATTTTTTTGTTTTGTATCACTACATACAAAAATAATTTAATTCATTCAATTCTTAGCTTTAAAAGAAAGTCCAAAACATTTTAGAAAAAATGTTATTTCTAAGTTTTTTTTCTAGAAAATGAATCAAATTAAATTAACTAAAGTAAGTTTTGCCTAACAAAAAAAAAAAAAATAAAGTAAGTTAAATGCAAATTAAGAGCAACCAATTAAACAAATATGTGAGGTCAGGGGGAACTAAGATAGTGAAGAGGGGAGATGTGAGAGTCAAAGTGTTGGGGATTAGGACTTGTCGGTTTAAAAATTGAGATATTTGGATTTATTATAATTTATAAAAATATAATTTTTAATTTTTATTAATTTATGATTCCTTGCATGGATCTACAATGCAAGGGAAGTTCCTTGTGAAATTTTGCTGGGAAAAAATTGCCTCCATCCATGTCTTATAAAAAGGAATATTTTGAAAATCTCTGTCCTCATGGTGGAGTTTCCCATGGAGTTCCATCAATTGTGGAGGAAATTACCATCTCTAATACTAACTCTATTTGATTTAACTATTAAAAACAACTAATAATTTTAACTCTTAACTAATAAATGACAACATAAATAATATTTATTACTTAACATAACAATGTCACGTATCATTATAAAGTTACAATATGATGTTGTTGGAAAAATTATATGTGGGCTATCGTTAATTGTATTCAGTTTTTAAAATTGAGTTAAATGAAAAACTGGTATAGCCTAATAAAATTAAGTGATTCAAGTGGTTTTAGGTTTTATCTAAATTTTATATAATATGATATATATATGTGTGAAGCTTGAAATTAAAGGTGAGCTACATGTTGGGGTGCCTTAAATATTGTTATAATAGAGTTAAGTCTCATCCCCATTTAGAAAACCCTAGTTTTATAAATAGTGGAATCAAGGGAGTAACATAACCGATATATTGTTATTATACAAAAGTTGAATAGGGAGGGAAAGTTCTAAATCTCAATACTAATCATATTTGTTTTTCAGGTTTTACAAAGAATGGAATTATGATGACCTTCAATGATCCTTGTTAACATTATAATATTGTATATTGATTATGGAGAATAAGGTACACAATTTATTTATTTCATTATATATTGATATTTTAAATTTCACATATATTGATTCTTAAATTCTAATAGATGTGTTGTTACAATATCACTTGAAATTGTAACTATAATATTATTGATACTAATATTTTCAAATATCCTAATTAACTTGACAGAAAAATGTCAAAGTTAATGTGACCTATAAATATAATCTGTCCAATTAACTCATATACATCGCCTTGATATTGAGCAATATGCTTTTGGATTCCTCACATACATCAGCTTCATAATCCGTATGTACTCTACTTCTTCAATCCCATTAACCTCCAACAAGTTCTTCAGCACTGCATCTGTAGCCTTCGTCAAGAATTCCGACCAATCCCTATGTATGATATCAAAAGAAAATTCATCAATATAAAATTTATAATTTTGGCATGGGCCAATACTGTTCTGATTTAGCTAGCTAGGTACCTCCAACCGTTCCCACACCGCTGAAAGTTTCAAGCTATAGTAGTGTATATATATATATGTACTAACCCTTTTAATGTGTCAAATGGGAGACCGACGGTGTATCTTGCCTCCTCGAGGGCCCGCCCGAACCGCTGCAACTCCGTTACCGTGCGAGACCCGTTGTCCTTAACCTGGAGCTGAGACGGCTTCATGTCGCAGAAGATTGGAATGACCCTCTTCCTAGTTTCCATCATCAGAGCCAGCTCGTGTAGACAGAAGTATGATTCACAATAATGCGGTGAAAAGACAGCAACACCGACCTTGCAGTGTCGAACAGCATCATCGATTTTGTCGAACAGCCGATCACCGGGCTTCATGTTCTTGCTATCCAAAAACGGGTTGAGCCGTAGGCGGTAAAGATGGTTGTGGAGCAACCCAGAAATGGTTCTTCTGGTATCAATTCCTCGATGGTTTATGAAGACATCGCAGGGGTGATGTAGCTGTTTTGAAAATTTTTCTATTTTGTGGCCGTGGTTCTCGAGGCGAGGAATTTTATTGCAGAAGTTCTTCGTAAGAGACTGGGAACGATCCATAGCTTCTCTGAGAAAATTGCAGAAAACTCAAATGATTTAAATTCAAACACTAATAGTGTTGATGTGTTTGTGATCAGGGTTGGTGATAAATATTTATAATAGTTTAAATTAAAGAGAAGATCACAGCCCAAAACATGCTTTCGACTTTCGAGTTTGTTTTATTATTAAGAGAAGGAAATGTAGTTCGAGTGAGGAACCCAAGTGGAGGTGGTCCTGGGGGAATAAAAATGTAGAAATAAGGGTATCGATGGAGGTTCTTCTGAAGCAGAAGTTATCTCACAAGCTGCCAAGACAATCAACTTGTACTAATACACAATAAATGTGCACCTCCCAAAAGGTCAAATGACGACCCTTGTTGCAGTTTCATCTAAGTATCCAATGTATTAGGATGAAGAAGGGATTGAGAGTGAAAGATACTGATTCATTCACAGAGATTATACATATATACAGTTGAGGTGTTGCCCTAACATATATGGAAAGAGCTTGTAAAAACAGCAACATACATAATACAATGAATGCAGAATATATGATTAACAATGGCTGATTATAAGGAGGACGATTAGGATCTGATATCCTGTGTAGTTGATTGAGCAGTAATTGGTGGTGTAGCATGATGTGTTTCCATAATACAATGATGATGTATGTGTTTTTTTTTTTTTTTAAACAAATTTACAAGGGATCAAATTCAAACCATTACCTTAGAGGTAAAGAATGCATTTATACGTGACTTGATGTCACTAAACCCAAAAATCCAAGTGCGATGTATGTGTTCCTTTAAACAAGAATAGATCTTTAGAGATAATCCATTTTAAAATCAATTGCAAACAATTAACAGGAGTTTTATATCTTTGTATCTTTTCTTATAAGTCTATCAATACAGAACAACATTGGCAGAGCTAGGGGGGACTAGGGGCCTCCTGTCCCCCCTAAACTTCTGAGAAAAAAATAGTTTTAATACCATGAGTTATATTTCCATCATTTTGATCGGTGTATTTTTCAATTTCATCCTATTGTAGTCCTTTTTTCAAAAAAAAAATCATTTAAAAAAAAATAGAGAGAGCAAAACGGAAAAGGGCCCGGATTAAAAGGGGCGGATTAAAAGGGATTCTTCTTTATGTCAATGCTCTTTCCTCCATCGTACAGTTATTTAAACTGGAATTTAAACGAGCAAATTCCAGTGGAAATTCAATTGATAGAGAAATGAAGAAGGCGCTAATTATCGACGAATTTACATTTTTGTCCAAGCTTCCAGCAAGTTGCCATGTTCAAATCTCTAATCATGATCAGAATCCAAATTTGATCCCTCAATTATTATATAGGCTCTCAAATTGATTTCTAAATTAAAATGTTTTTGATTAAGTCCCTGAAACTTTTAAATTTGGCTCTAAATTTATCTTAAACTTTTAAAAATATCTGACGTGTTCATGACTTAAGTATAAATACTTAATAATAAAAGACTATTACTAGAAAATCATGTGTCCCGTTAAAAACAAAATATGTCAGTTGCTTTTGGACAAAGAAACTAATTTAGAACTAAATTTAAAAATTTTAAGTATTAGATCTATAGATTTTTTTTTATTTAAAAACCAACTCAAGACTCCATATAATGGTTAAGGGACCAAATTGAGAGTGTAACCAAGAATAAAACTTAAGATCTCTAAATAAGTCTCAGGTTCTTGATTGATGGCAGGGATAGCCATCACCTTCCAAGGGTTTGTTTTGTTTTAGTAAGATGGTATTGAGGTCATGACAAGTCTACGTTAATGAGTTGCAAGTCAAAATACACCCAAATTGGATAAAAAATAAAAATCAAGAGTTACCGCTCATTAATTATGCAATAACAAAACAATTGTATTAGACTTCTAGTTTTAATGCCATTCAGGGGAAAAAATATGTTATCATATTTTTGCAGCCATTTTTCCAATTGGATATCTAACAGTAATACGTGTAGCTTTATACAAGCTGTTCTTTGACAGAGGTTATCTAGGGTCAGGCATAACAGGATCCTTTTTCCGTCGGAATTAT